GAAATAATTCAATATTTTCTACATCTAACATGGAAAAACATGATCAATTCTTGAAAGAAAGTTGATATTTTATATATTAGTGTAACAATATATAGAACAATAAATAATAAATTAAATATACCTACTGTGCGCAAATTTTAAATCTAAAATCGACTCAATTATATATTGGTGGAAAACTAACAACGTTCTCGCAATGGGCATGGCGTTTGTTTAGTGCTTAGTACATGAAAATATTGATAGTTTGGTGCATAGTTCAATGGTAGAAGAGTAATAAACCTGCTTCCTTTTTAGTATTTTAATCTCGATTTTGTTTCATCATTTTCAGTTTTGTTTTTTGAGGAGATTAAAATTAAGGATGAGGGATTACTTGAATTTGGGGTAAGTTTTTTATTTTTCTTTCATAACTTTGAGTTTTATTTTACATTTTAATATAATATAATTTTTTTATAATTTTATGTATTTCTATGTAATATACTGCGTAATCTTTTTTTAATTTATTAATTCAGAGCAAAAAATGTCTTATGTGTTGCAACTTACAGGTGTTCACCAAAGAGGGACACATATATGAAGCACGTAAGGTGTGAACAGTTCTGGCAGCTCATATGGAATTTGTGAAAAGAAAATGTTTGTCGGCTTATTTTGAAAAGAAATTTAAAAAGAGTAACAAGTGATACACCGTGTATTTCCGAAAATTTTCCTTGTTGTTTAGTGGTTTTCTTCTCTTTTAATTGATTTTCTCAATTGGTCATCATGTCTTCTAGCTTTTAAGTTTGTTATTTTTTGGGCCTTACAATTTTAGTATATATAATTATTTATTTTTCTTACATATGTACTCCATACTAAATTTTGACTCCACCCCAGTTTGACAAATATTTTCTCTTCAAAGATCAATAGGCGGGCAAATCTCCAATTAAGCAGGGCAATTCTCTTTGCTGTTAGGGAACTCTCAACGCGCATGCGAGAGCCATGCATGCCGACATGCATGGCGTGCACGTTTCATCTGCCATCTTTTTTCTTAAACCATAATTTCTAATAATTGTTAGGGGGAACGAATTTGAAATTGAGATGGTACAAGATAAAAATACCCGGGACGAATCTGAATTTGAGATGGAGCAAGGTAAAATTACCCGGGACGATTGTGAAATTCAGATTCAAGAAGCTAAAATTTCCAATGTGATGGAAGAAAACGTGTGCCGAACATGCATCGAGGAGGAAGATAATGTTCAAACCAGACGTTTAATCCCACTAGGATGCTCTTGTGTGAAGGATATGGGTCTCGCTCACGAAGACTGCGCACAAGCATGGTTTAAAATTAGAGGACACACATGTGAGGTATGCGGGAAAGTTCCGCAAAACGTGGGCGGCATACACGCCGAGCAAAGGCAGTAGCGGTCAAGCTACACAAGTATAACCATTGCAACCACGAAAGAGTTGGAGCAGTCCTACTACCTCCGGCTCCGGCAACGTGGCATCTACAAATATGTTTGGGTGTATGTCTTTGTCATCACTTGTCTTAGCCTTGGTCTTGAAAGCCGCCGTTGCCATCGCTTTCAAGACCAAGACTAAAGCGATGACAAAGACATACACCCAAACATTTTATAGATGCCACGTTGCCAGAGCCGGAGATAGTAGGACTGCCCTAGTTTTTCCGTGGTCGCAATGGTTATACTTGTGTAGCTTGACCGCTCCTGCCTTTGCTCGGTGTGTATGCTGACCACGTTTTCCGGAACTTTCCCGCTTACCTCACAGGTGTGTCCTCTAATCTTAAACCATGCTTGCGCACAGTCTTCGTGAGCGAGACCCATATCCTTCACACAAGAGCATCCTAGTTGGATGAAACGTCTGGTTTGAACATTATCTTCCTCCTCCATGCATGTTAGGCACACGTTTTCTTCCATCACATTGAAAATTTTAGCTTCTTGGATCTGAATTTCACAATCGTCCCGGGTAATTTTACCTTGCTCCATCTCAAATTTAGATTCGTCCCAGATATTTTTATCTTCTTCCATCTGAAATTCAAATTTGTCCCCCCTTGAAATTTACTAGAAATTATGGTTTAAGAAAAAAGTTGGCAGATGAAACGTGCATGCATGCATGTCAGCATGCATGGCTCTCGCATGCGCGTTGAGAGTTCCCTAATTCCTAACAACAAAGACAATTGCCCTACTTGGAGCGCTGCTCGCCTATTCATCTTTGAGGGGGAAATATTTGCGAAACCGGGGTGGAGTCAAAATTTAGTACGGAGTACATATGTAAGAAAAATAATAATTATATATACTAAAATTGTAAGGCCCAAAAAATAACAAACTTAAAAGCTAGAAGACATGATGTCCAATTGAGAAAATCAATTAAAAGAGAAGAAAACCACTAAATAATAAGGGAAACAGAAATTTCCCTAAATAGGAGTAAAAAGGTTTCGAAATTCCAAATTAGGAGTATCATTTTTTTTATTCCCTGAATAGGAGTAATCTGCCAAGTTTGGAAAAAAATGTCATGTTTAAAGCTTTGTAATGTCAAACTTGGCAGTAATTTACTCCTATCCAGGGAATAAAAAAGATGATACTCCTATTTTGGAATTTCAAAACGTTTTTACTCTTATTTAAGGAATTCTCTCTAAGGGAAATTTTCAAAGTAGCTACTATGGCGATTAAAAGTAGCTACTATGCTGATCTGTTTGGCTTTCCTGTTTTGCATTTTTAATTCATGTTTTTTAATTTTTGGGTCGGGCCTTGCCCCCCCCCCCCCCCCCCCAAAAAAAAAAAAATTCAGTTCTTTTTGTTTTGGATCTTCATGTATTTTTCATAGGAATGCCTCTGCTGAGAGGTTTGGTCTAGTCCCCCTCTCATTTTGTACTTCATCAATAATTTAATAAAATACCGGCAAATGTCCCCTGGCATTTGCCCCACCGATGGGGTGGTTTACCCTCCGGGGTAAAAAAAAATAAGAGAAATTTTCGGAAATGGACTTGAAACACACGGTGTATCACTTGCAATGTTCTAAAACTCGCTAGGCGCTAGTCGGGCGGCAGAGGGCCGCCTAGCGCCTAGGCCGACTAATCGGCAACTAGTCAGATTCTACGGAGCATGGCTTTTTCTGCCCACATTCAGTCATGCAGCCATTTTTATCTATGTATGTAGCAAAAAAAATATACAAACCAGCTTCCATAATTAATGATTTCATGCCATAAAAAAATGATAAAACAATGGGAGCTTCCATTAAACAACTCAATAAGCAATGAACCAAACAAGTTCAACAATAGATTACCATCCCAAATAACATATTATCTTAAGTTATCATATTATCAGTAAGAGAAACTTGAGAGTTTTAAGTTTAAATAAACTTACAAAAGGTTTTAGATTTTTAGTAGGTTTAATTAACATTAACAGATCAACTTAAAGTAAATCTAATCACCTTAAGCTATAAACAACATCTCCATTGAGGCATTGAGGGAGGTTCATTCTGAAATAATAAAACAATGATTGAAATACTCTATAAAACAATGATTGAAAAACAATACTAAGTTGGAGCCTAAATGATAAAGACATAAAGTCATAAAACAATGGGAGTCCATTCTGAAATAAGTAACTTAATTAGCTTGATAAATTATGAGTATTGCAAGAACGATCATCTATCCATCCCAGCCTATAGACGTTACAAAATATGGTTTATATCTCTTTGAGGACATTTGCCACACACTTAACTTACACAATTCCAACACTAAGTTTATCACATTTACTTCTAACTTTCTAGTTTCTATCAATCATTCACAATTTCACACACATTCATATGTATAGACTTCCATGTTTGTACATATGTAAACAACAAACCATATTTCGAATTTGCTAAAAACCTGAAAATTTTGAAGAAAACAAAGGAAAACTGTCAAATAGATCTACCTACTATTCACAAAAAGTCAATTTAAGTCCACATACCACTACTAGAATTTTCCTTATTTGCTGCTACCCAATAGCTGCGGTTCTTAGTAAAAACGCAGCAAATAGGTAAAATTTATATGTATTTGCTGCGGTTCTACATCGACCACAACAAAAAGTTGAAAGATTTTATACTTTTTGCTGCGGTCGTGTATGAACCGCAGCAAATACTTATAAATTTTCGAATTTTAATTTTTTTTTTCACGGTGTTGCTGCGGGTATAAGAGAACCGCAACAACTACATTAATTTTCAATCTTATTTGATGCGGTCATGGGAGGACAGCAGCAAATACCAGTTAACATTTTAGATGTTCCCCTCTTCCCCTTTACTAGGTCAACACACTTCAAACCCTCATGAAAACCAGCCCTCCCAACAGCTTCCCGCAGACGTCTTAGCGCCGCAGCCGCAGGTCATCGTCGACGCCGCCGCATCTCCTCGCCGCTGCCCTAGCTTCAGGTCTTCGTTGTCGCCGGCCTCTACAGCTCCAAGCAGATCTCCTCGCCGACGCAGAGCTCCAAGAAATTGATTATTGTTCTTTTGTTCAAGGTTAGTTGTTCTTTATTATTATTATCCGTGAAGTTTAAAGACCCAAACTCTCTCAATTATTCTCATGTTTTTTTATTAGCTTCATTGTGAGAATAAGTTTGTATTGTTATACGATATTATATGCCTAAAGCTTACAAACCCAAAAAACGGGACAATAATTTCATTATTTGTTTATCTATTGTTATTCTATTCGTGTTTGGAAGGGTTTTGAAGTTGCATTTTGGAAATGGATATATGTCATTCTTTTAATGCAACTTTTGAATTTATCATTTTGAAAAAAATGCAATGGAAATCCACTTCTAGCTCCTTTGGTAGTTCATCATTACGAATCTAATTCATTTTAGTAAGTTTTGTGTGAGCATTATTAATTCCAATTAGAGAGGAATATTGTTATTTGGTATTGATATTGTTATTAGTATTGTTCGTTGTTCAGTTTGTTAGTATCACTCATTTTAATCGATTTATAAATTGGATGAAAATGTTGATATTATCATTGAATGTAATTAGTATCAACCTAGTACCTTTCTTCCGAAAATATGGACTGACCCTCAGGTGCCCTGAAGCTTATTTTGCTCCTCAAGAGATGTTCATTGGTTGCGGTGAGTTTGATACTGATAGAAAGATACTCCAAGTTAGTTCTCACATCTTTAATGGAAACTAAGCTTATTTACAGCTTTTATGGTGATCAGTGTGTTTATGCTATGAATGTCTATGCAAAGACAGGAGAGAGTAAAACTAATGATTAACTCTTTAATTTAATAGCCTTTGTACTATGAACAATTACTCCGTATTAGACTACTTTTGAGATTATTTTCATAAATCATTTGATTCAAACCTTACACAGATTAAGGTTTATTTCTTCAATGGAATTTCTCATAACAATGAAGTATTTTCTGTTCTGAGCAAATTGGATAACTGAGATGCATCTATCTTTCGATTTTCTGTTTGAGCAGAGTGAAGAAGACAATAAAAGGTTGAAGGCGGGTAGACTGAACAATAACCTAAACCTGAAGAAGCTGTTGAAGGAACTTCTGGAAGGCAAGAAGAAAGAGCCGAAAAGCTAGTTTAACCACCTAAAGATTACATTCATGTCAGAGCTAGGAGGAGGGGCCAAGCAACCGACAATCACAGCTTAGCCGAACGAGTAATCATCTGTTATGTTTGAAAAATACGATTTCAGTTATTCTATGTTAGGGAATTCAAGGAATGTTGGATTTAATTTTACCCAAATCACTCACTATCTAAAAATGATTTATGTACTAACATTTTGACTTCATTCCATTGTAGATGAATTGGTATTCCAATTTTTTATAATTTAGATTTCAATTCCATAAGCTCAATTCGATTCCTTGAATCCAATATATATTCGGTTTCTGATGATAGATGTAATTATGTAAATTTAGCATTATTCATACTTTTTCTAAATGTATGGACCCCTTCCTTTAATATACAGGCCCGCGGAGAGGAAATAAGTGAAAGGATGAGAATTCCATTACCTGGTCCCTGGATGCAATAAGGTGCACTTGTGAAAGGATGAGAATTCCAGTTGCTTCTTCTCTACACGTGGACTTGAGCCGGTTGACATCCAAACTTGTGTGTTCTTGTCCTATTTTGGCAGAACTGGAACGATTTATTATTGGTTCTGATCCAGAATGAAAACCAAGCAACCTGGCTCATTTTTTTAACTGTGATTCTAAAATCGAACTGGTCCACCTTGAGGGGATTCAACAGTATTTTTAGGAATATTTTGGTGAGTTGTTTCTGTTTTCACAAGAAAAGAAGTGATTTGATCTCAATTTGTTTAAGATATAGTGTGCACCTGTTTTTTCCACATGTTATTTTTACAAGTCTTTCTGCTATAATTTTGTTTGCTTTAAATGCTTATGTTGTTTTCTGTTTTGAATGTGTGGTTTTGTTTGAATTATAATATTTCAGAAAATTTGTTTAGATTCATCTTATCTGAATATTTGTGATATTTGTTTTCTAATTATAATTGTAAATGTTTCATATTTTAGGTTTATTGAAGCGTCAAAAGAGCCTTTGTCGGGTGATGAAGAATGTGAAGTTTGCAAGGAAAGGAATTGGCCATATATTTCAATTTTTTGATAATTTGTTGTAAATGTTAGTGGCAGATAAACTTAAATTTGTATTGTTTTTTCTTTTAACTTTAGTGATGTACTCAATAATTTTTGGGATATTCTCATTTTACTGATGAGATACGAAGTTGTTGAAAGGATTTCTTCTTATTCTGTAAACTACATATTCTTTGGTGTAAATTGTAAAACACGAGCTTTAATTTTGGGAGGATAACAAAACAAAAGAATGGACGCCAATTTTTACAGTATATGCTGCGGTCGTAACCGCAGCAATAAGTCAAACCCATTTTTTTTAAGTAGCTATTTGCTGCGGTTCGGAACCGCAGCAAATACGTTTTCCCACTATTTGCTGCCCTGCCAATTGCTGTGGTTCAGAACCGCAGCAAATAGTTAAAAATAACCGCAGCAAATAGCTATTTTTCTAGTAGTGTACTTTTCAACGAGTCAATTAAGTCTGCCAAGTATAAAAAAACAATCAAATTAGCTTTTTGATAGGTTATCAATCGGTTTTCCGGTGAACGCCTACGTGGATGTCCTACGTGGCATTTTTTTATTGTTTACTAATTTTTACTTTTTCTTTCTTTTATTTCCCCCTTTTTCTTTTCTCCTGTTTGGTTGTTTCTCTTTCTTCCTTGTCCGCTCATTCCCCGTCTGCACCCAATTCCTGAGTTTTTTTCCCTGCCACCGCCTCCTTCCACTTCCACATGAACAACCTCCGACCACCACCTTTGTGACCTCCCCTCAGCCTCCTCTATTAGAGTGGTGCCCCAAGCTCCATAGCCACCACCTCTATGCAAAGCTCCACATCCACCGCACTACCTCCATTCATACCTCCTCCGGTCACCACAATTGTGGCCTGAACCTCCGCCTCATCCATTACAGAGACCTCTAACCAACCCAGAATCCATAGCCTCCACCTGCCCCCTCCATTGGACCGACGACGACCTCCAACCGCCCGGACACCCACAACCACCCTCCTCCGCGCGCGGCCTCCACGTTCTCTACCCCTATCTATCTCCATACAAATTACCTTTGACCCCCACCCTCATCAGAACGACCTCTGACAAGTGACAGCCAATTCCTCCATATATCAAATACCTCCGATCCGGGCCTCCATCTCCGATCCGGCCGCCGTTCCTACATCCATAGTCACCCCCTCTGGGTCTTTTACTCTATCTCATTCAATCAAAAAACCTCCGCCCTCCAAGACTCCATAGACCGTTAGATCTTCTAGGGTCTACCGGAACTGAAGATCGGAGAAGAACGCAAGCTTGGGAATCAGAGAAGACTGAAAGAAGGGGAGAATAGAAGGATAGAGAAAAAAAAGTATTTACCCTAGATAGGAGTAAAACAATAAAGAAGTTCCAAAATATGAGTTTCTATTGAATTATTCCTCAAATAAGAGCTTTCAGTTGACCGTTCGTTCCCTAAATTGATTTATTCCAAATTTACCCTCCATCAATTAATTATTTCTCTTCCTTCTACAGTTGTCATGCACTCACGAATTGTACCCTCTCTCCTTTCTTATCTCTTACGTTTCCACCGCCTCTCCATTCTTATCTATTCGAATTCCTTCCATCCTTGTCAATCATTTACTCATCTCTATTTGCACATCTAAAAAAATCTTTTTCCCATGGATTTCAAATGTAAAGCAAAACTCCCCACCCATCTCCGGCGGCCAAATCTGCCCCCTTGATTTCATCGGTCAATCTATGATTTCTCTCCATTTCCAGTCTTCTTTACCAACTCCGGTCACAGTCGGATGACGGTAATCAGGTAAGTTTTGATCTTCTTCTCCTTCTCTTCCTTCATCTCTTCTTCTCCTTTGTCTTCTATTTCTTCTTCGTTCTCTTATTTAGGTTGGAGGCATAGCCTTGTGTTTTGCAAGCTTGAGTGTTAAAGACTGAAAATAACAACAACGAGCTTTTTATTTGATTTTTCTTCCCCTTTCTCCCCTCTTTCGAGATCTAGTTTTGTTGATTTAATTTCTTTTTTTTTTTCTATTTTCTCTTACAATTTTGTTTCATCTCTTATTATTTTGAGATTTTATTAATATTTTACAATACGTATTGCCAATGTCCATAATTGCAATCAAAATTTTAATTCTATTGAGATTTCATCTCTTTCTATTTTTCGATCAAATTTTTAATTCTTCAAAATAATTTTATGATTTGAATTCCAAATGTCTATATATAATTGCCTTTGACTTTATGACATTGAAATAAAAATATTACCCATTTGCAAATAATGCCATGTTTTTCTACATGAACATATTATTTCGACACTTAATGCCATTTTTATGGCGCTACTCCTTCCAGAGATGGCAAAAATAATACCAATAATGCCATATTTTTTCACATATAAAAACATAAGTTTTGCACATATTGTCATTTATATTGCACTAAATATGTAGTGATGGCAATAATATTTTATGAATTCAGTGTCATCCTAACATTAATTGCCAAAATCTCAATTTTCATAATGAAACATGGCATTATAACTGATTTAATGGAACTAAATGTCAAAATGGCACCATCATTGTAATGGAACAAATTGCCAAACTATGATATTTTTTTTGAATGAAAACATATCATTACAAGTGATGTGCTGTTAAAAGATCTAATATTTCCACATTGAGATGACAGAATTTTTTGAATAAAATTTCAAGATTAAAAAGGGTAAGAAATATTTTAATTCAATTTTTGAATAAAAAGTTTTAGATTGAAAATGATAAGAAATATTTTAATTCAACTTTTGAATAAAAATTTTCAGATTGAAAAGGTTAAGAAATATTTTAGTTCAATTTTTGAATAAAAATTTCCAGAGTGAAAAGGATAAGAAATATTGTCAATAATGTAAATATGACACTAACATTCATATCCTTTTGATTTGTTATATAAATTTTATTAAAAATGATTTTCAAATGGTGAGATGATATTTTAAATCACTTTTTTCAGATTTAAGATATGTGATTGTGGAGCCAAAAAGGAAGCAATGACATGGGATCCGGTGGAGGCACGCACCTTGCAGCTGCGACGCCGGCGGAAAGGGCGATAGCGATGAAGGTGACTGGCGGCGGCTAGTGGCAACGGCTAGTGGCGACATCCGGCAGTGGCAAGAGGTGACTGGCGGCGGTGACTGGTGCAGGTCTTGCCTTCTGGATGGTGTCGGCGGAAACTTATGGCTGCGGTGGGCATGAGAGAAAATTTCGCCATTCTATAATGCATTTAGTTCATTATTCTATTTTATATTTTTATTAAATACGGAGTATATTGGAGCATTATTCATTAAGGTCATTCTTGTCCCTTACTATTAATTTCCGTGTGGCAAACTATGCGTGAGGTAGGAGTCCTACTTTTGCACATTTGATATGTTTAACTCCTAATCTGGGAATTTTCTCGAGAAAAAAAGGAAAGAAAACGGAAAAGAATTTTCTAAAGAGAATGGAAAACAGCATGTAGTAAAAA